ACTTACAATAAACAATCCCTGTGCCTTAATTGAATTAACAGCATCTTTTTTTCTTCCTTTTTTTGGTGGTACTGCAGCCTCATATATGTGAGGAAGATACTCTTATCATGGAACTACATCCCCAGCCCCAGCTGCAGCAGTTTTCCTTTTTTGTGTGTGTGGGGGAGGGATTTACTGAGGATTGAACTCAGCAACACTGAACCACTGAGCCACAGGCTGAGGCTGGCTTTGAATCCACCATCCTCCTGTCTCAGCCTCCAGAGCTGCTGGTATTACAAGCATGTGCCACTGTGCCCAGCCCTTTTTTTTTTTTGTGATGGACACAATACCTTTATTTGTTTTTATCCAGTGCTGGGGATCGAACTCAGTGCCTGACATATACTAGGCAAGTGCTCTTACCACCGAGCTACAACCACAGCCCCTGCATTTTTCTTAAGGATGCAGAAAATAAATAATAGTTTTTTTTTTTTTAATGATGTCTTAGAACTAGGATAGATATGATGACACTGTATCCTAGGGTTTTGTGGAGATTAACTGAGTCAAGAAACAAAAATGCTCAGAACCATGACTAGCTAATACTAATCACTTTATTATAATCTCACCTGTGTATAGGTTGTGAATTAACTCATCCTCCCCTTGTTGGGCCTGAAGATTGTTCCCATTTTCCTATCATATATGGCATTGAATATCCTTGTATGTCCAGCTTTATATGGATCTCTAATTAGGACAGATTTCTTGAAGTGGAATTACTAAATCCAAAAATCATGGACATATTTATGGGATGGACTCAGAATCATAGTGATTAGGAAGTCAGTCAAACCTGGGTTAGAAACACCACTTTCTCTGACCTTGGCCATTTTACTTAACCCTTTTCAGTTTTTGCATCCATAAAATGAGAATGATAATAATAACATTCATAGGCATCTTTTGATGTTTAAGTAAGATGATGTAATTGGATATAACATAATATTGGCCACATAGTAAATTCGTTTTATTGAGACATCAAGAGGGGTGCACAGCATCTCTTCATCCCAGCTTTGGATGAGAACTCATTGGATTGTGTAAAACCACCGGTTGTCAACAGTGACTCTGTGTGGCCATAAGAGAAATTGCAGCAGCACAAAATAGACACGAGTTGTTAGAAATAGATTGATCAACTCATTAATTAAAAAAAAATTAGTTATTGATAGACCTTTATTTATTTAAGTATATGCGATGCTGAGAATCAAACCCAGCACCTCACATATGCCAGGCACTACATGTGTGCGCTACCACTCAGTCACAGCACCAACCCCCAACTCATTAATTCTTTTTCTTGGTCATTTGGATGGTAGAAGGTTGTGCCAGGGATCTTGAGTAATCTAATACAGATTCACCTCAGGAGAGAGAAATGATCCTGCCAACTTGCATATGAGATTCTAAGTGGTTTCTTTAAAGATCAAAGAGGATGATCATCACATTTGGATCGTGTGTGTGTGTGTGTGTGTGTGTGTGTGTAGCTGTGCCCCATCTGCATGGTTTCAGTTACCCATGATCAACTCCCATCTGAAAACATTAAATGGAAAATAAACAATTCATAAGTTTTAAATTGTGTGCTGTTTTGAATAGCATGAGGAAGTCTCATGCCATCCTGTAAGGTTCCATCACCATCTTCCCTGGACGTGAATTAGCCCTTTGTCCAGCTATGTATCCACACTGTGTATATCACCCACCCATTAGTGACTTAGTAGCTGTCTATTAGTGCTTGCATTCAAGTAATTGTTATTTTGCTTAATAAAGGCTCCAAAGTACAAGATAGTGATGCTAAAATTGAATACATTAAGCAAGAGGCTTGTCTGATGATGCATATACATATTGAATAAATCTCATTTCAGAGAACATCATACCAATCCATTAGGCAATTCCATGGTTTCTACAATCTACTCAAATATTAAATAAAATACGACTTCTTTTTTTTTTCTTTGTATCAGGGATTGAAACCTGGGGCACTTACCACTAAATCATATACCAAGTCCCCACTTTTAAAAAATGTTTTATTTAGGGACAGGGACTCTCTGAGTTACTAAGGGCTTTGCTAAATTGCTGAAGCTGTCTTTGAACTCACAATCCTCCTGTCTCAGCCTCCCAAGCCACTGGTATTACAGGCATGAGCAACTGCGCCCCTCAAGAAAATATGATTATAAAATAAGCTTCTACTTTTTAAAGAAGAGGTTTCACATATCCTTTACCTGAAATTCTTAGAACCATAACTTCATTGAATTTTGGATTTTTTTTTCATACTTGGAATATATGTACATACACACACATCCTGATATATCTTGCCAATGGAACCCAAGTCTAAACACAAAATTCATCCATGTTTCATACACACCTTATATGCACATAGCCTTAAAGTAATTTTATAAAATATTTTTAGTATGGCTGCATTTTGGCTGTGACCTACTAAATGAGGTTAGGTGTGAAATTTTCCATTTTGGCATCATGTTGCAGTTTTGGGGGTATTTCAAATTTCAGATTAGGGATGTATTGAATAGAATATCTAAAACAAAAAAATAGAGCTTTAAGTAGCAGTTGAAAATTATTATTGGAAGCAAGATCATAAAACACAAAAATATGGTGTGAATGGTCAGTTGGAATTATAATAAATTTGAAATAGGTATTTTTAAAGTCAACCATTTTTTTTCTGTACCAGGGATTGAACCCAATGGCACTTAACCACTGAGCTACATACATCTCCAGCCCCTTTTAAAAATGTTTTATTTTGACACAAGTTCTCATTAAGTTGGTTAGGGTCTCATTAAATTGCTAAGGTTGGCTTGGAACTTGGAATCTTCCTGGCTCAGCCTCCCAGGCTGCTGGGATTACAGGTTTGTGCCACTACATGGACTCTTAACCATGTATCTTGAACATAGTTTCAGATAAAGAACCTCCCCATTCCTTTAGGTTGTGTTTTATCTCTTTTTAAAAATCAGCTTCAAGATCAAGAAAATATATCTACAGCATGTATTACTGTAAATGTCTTTCTGCACCCAAGGCTATATGCATTTGTAATTTGCATATAAAAATAATTTGTAGTTATTGTCAAAGCGTCTGAAGAAGATTTTTTAAGTCTTCCTCTTTAAGTAATTCAAAAAAACTTGGACACAGACCACATTTGAATTTTCTTTGCATATCCTGGCTTCAAAAATAATGGAAGGCAAATTTTAATCTCTCTTCAAGATTAAATTCCAAATTGGTAGAATATCAACATATTTCTTGAAGAACTAATGTCAGTGAATTCTTTAATAATTTTAAATTTTATTATAATAAAAAGTCTGTTTAAATGGAAGAAAATGACTATTGAACCAAGTTAAAATGAAAGACAATAAGTAATCAAGCATGTTTTCAAGTTTATGAACATATGTTGTCAGCAAAAGTTCTTTATATTTTAGGCTATACATATATGTTATACCCCCCCACACACACATACACACATACCAGGGATTGAACTCAGGGGCACTTAACCACTAAGCCACATTCCCATCCCTTTTTTACATTTTATTTAGAGACAGGATCTCACTGAATTGCTTAGGGCCTCTCTAAGTTGCTGAGGCTGTCTTTGAACTCTCAGTCCTCCTGCCTCAGCCTCCACAGCTGCTGGGATTACAGGTATGTGCCACCATGCCTGGCTAGGCTATATTTAAAGTGTTGCAAACCTGCTGCTATGCTGTTCAAACAGGATTGAATAAGTCATAACTCTAAAATCAAACTGCTCACAGTACTGATGTGTATATATACACACACATAGATGTATACATTTACCTACTCTTATAAGTCAATGACTCATTCCTACTGCTGTCCTTCACTCACCCCCCCCCCCACCTCTCTCTTGGAACAAATACTTTCTATGTCTTCTCTTTTCATAGCATTTACAGCTAGACCACACTTACCTATCAGCTAGTGAGTTCTCGGCAGAGGATGGACTCCGTGGGGCATAAATATTATTTATGCTTTATGTAACCTGCATACATACAACTTTCTAGTTACTGGCACATAATTTTAACAGAATATGTCTTAATTGAATTCTAAGTGCTTGTGTTGTGAGTAAAGAGAAGATCCTGTGTTCCCCTTCTTGCTGGACAAAAGAAAGATGTTGAGGGGCTGGGGCTGTAGCTCCATGGCCGAGCACTTGCCTAGCGCACAGAAGGCACTGGGTTCAATCCCTAGCCCCACATTAAAAAAATAAACAACAACAACAAAATAAAGTCATGCATGCTGTCTATCTACAACTACAAAAAAAAAAAAAAAAGATGTTGAATTCCTTCCCTGATGCCACTTATGTTTCTGGTAGAGGCAGGACTACAACCAAGGTGTCCTGATTCCTTTACACTATCCTTTACAGTGCCCTTTACACTATCCCTTGGTGCTTCTGCCTGATCTTCAGTTAATATTTAAGGGCTGCTCTTGTGCAAGGAGCTGGGCTAAGCCCTGAAGAACAGCTTTTGTGGTGAATGGACACATGAAATAAATGTCAACATATATTTCCACTTACTCAATATATAAGTAAATTTTTTTTACAAGGATTAGTCTAAAAAGCCAGTGAAAAGGGCTTGAGAGCTTTCCTCATTAGTGTGAACAGAAAGGCTGTGTACATTTCCCTTCCATGATTTTAAAGATAAAAAGCACAATTTCAAAGAATTTCATAGCGCATGTCTATCAAAACTTCAAGAAATTATAGGTTTGCTGTATTCTACTAGTAACATTTACCTTGAAACCTTTGCGGGCTGACCAGAAATACATTATTTGTTGATGTTGGCCTTCAACAAGAAAATCCTCCTTAGTGACTCAAGCAAAAACTAGGATCTTAAAGACCATTAGTTAGATAACAATGTAATTTATCATTCAAACCAGAACACGTTTGAGAGTAAAAGTGGGTACTACTGGTAAGTACATGGGCATGACCTGAATATATGGTCACACAAGTCTTAAATCACATGTTCCCAATTTATCTATAGACTAGCTTACCTTAAAATGAATATTTTAAGTGAAATAGGAGCACAATCCAAGAATTTGTTACTTTTCTACTGGCTTTCCAATCTAGAATAACACTTTTTTATTCTTTTTTCTTTATTTATATATGACAGCAGAATGCATTACAATTCTTATTACACACATAGAGCACAATTTTTCATATTTCTATTTGTACACAAAGTATAGTCACACCAATTCGTGTCTTTATACATGTACTTTGGATAATAATGATCATCACATTCTACATCATTTATAACCCCATGCCCCTCCCTTCCCCTCCAACAACTCTGCCCTATCTAGAGTTTGTCTATAGAGTTAGAGAAGATAATGCTAAGTGAAGTTAGCCAATCCCAGAAATCCAAATGCTGAAAGTTTTCTTTGATATAAGGAATCTGATGCAGAGTGGGATAGGGAAAGGGAGCATGAGAGGGATAGACAAACTCTTTTTTCTTTTTAATGATAAAAAAATAATATTTTTTAAAAGCCAATAAGTTAAAAGTCCCTCTAGGTACCTCAGCTTCTAATTTCCCTCCTCAGCTATAGCCACTGGGGACAGGGTGGACAGTAACCTTCTCATTTCCAATGTGTGTGTGCGTGCACACACATATATACAAAACAGTGAGCTGCCACTCATGCAGCTGTATTTCAGAGAATCTTTTAAATAGAAGATAAGTATGTTGGCTTAGTGGTGTGAAATACACTGAATCTGATAATTATGATTTGATGTCAAGATAATATTTATAATAATTATAAGTTTTAGTTTCCTAGGCAGAGTACCACAAACTGGGTGCTTTCAAATAACAGAAATATATTATCTTATAGGTGGGGAGACTTGCAGTCTTGTCTCAGAAGTCCTGTGCAGCTGCATAACTCCATTCTCTGGCTTGCCATCTGAGATGTTCTCCCAGTGTGTTCCTGTCCTCACAAGTTCATATTCTGACAAAGACAGCAGTTACATGGGATTAGAGGCCCACTCTACTCCATTAGGACCTCATCTTAATTACATTTGCAATAACCCAATTTCCAAAAGAAGGTCACATTCTGAGTACTGGGGGTTAGGAGTTCAACATATCTTTTTTTTAGAGAGGGACACAATACCATCCATATCAGCAAGTTATCTTTGTACACCAATAAATTTAGGCTGTAAAAAACTGAGAGTTTTTTCTTCTCATGTTTGAGAGAATCTACATGGATTCTGATAGAGAAAAACTTGAATGAACTGACCGTAGTTCAGTCAGTTCTCCAACTCACTGAAAAAAAATTTATTTGCACTAGTCTTTTTCTTTTTTAGTTATAGATAGACACAATATCTTTATTTTTTTAAATTTATTTTTATGTGGTGCTGAGGATCAAACCTAGTGCCTCAAATGTGTGAGGCAAGCACTCTCCTACTGAGCCGCAACCCCAGCCCTGCACTAGTCTTTTTAAAAGAGTAATTATTACATAAAAATAATCAGGTATCATGAGTATAACTTTTTATTAAATGAAGTATATACAAAACAATATTTATAAATATGTGTACAGACAGAATAATTCTAATAAATACCCATGGCCCCACAATACAGTTTTAAAAAATAAAATACAATTATTCTTCTTGAATTTTTAATTATCTAAAATTTTTTAAAGCATTTTTCACTTAAGATATATTTTCAGCATGTTTGTTTTTAATGACAAAATTAATATTGGTATATGTTGTTTATTATAAAAATATATAATTCAAAATTATTTGGGGTAAAAATTAAAAAGTCTTCCTATGTCAGCGATATCTTCTATGTGTACATAAACCTTTGGAATAGTGACAGGGAGTTCCATATTATGTCTTTATCCTAGTTTACATAATCAATCATGTGTTTCCATTTTCCTGCTATTATGAATAATGCTGCAGTGAACAACCTTCTACAAATAACATGATCACTTTTGCAAGTATATAAGGTAAACTCCGAAAGGTAGAAATGATGAATAAAAAGCATGAAAATACCTTTGAAATTCATATGAATTTGAGTTGGATTCCTTGTATGGTGAAATGAAAATGTATTTGAGTTGGATTCCTGGTATGTGAAATGAAAATGGTTCTAAGTAAAATAATTGCTGTAACAGTCTCCAGGAAATCAACAAGTCAACACTTGAACCCAAATTTTAATATTCTAGTCTACAACTCATTTGATTATATTCCATAAAAATATGGACTCTCATCACAAAAGCAATCAGGGAAAGTCCCACAATGCTAGGCCACCAGATGAAATTTCCTGGGGTAAGAACTTCAGTATGTATGATGATTTTCTTTTAATCACATAACAATTATTCCACTTCAATAGATGAGGGGGAAATATGACAAAATCCAAGACTCTTTCATGATAAAAACTCTAAGTAAACAGAGAAGTGAACTTCAACCTGGTAAAGGGAATCTACAAAACATCCACAGCTAACATCATACCTAATGGTGAAAGACTGAAAGTTTCCCCCTAAGATCAAGACCAATACAAGGATGTGCATTCTCTACTTCTATTCAACATTGTACTGGAGGTTCTAGCCAGGGCAATTAGGCAAGAAAATGAAATTAAAGCTTTCAGACCTGTGTTCAGAATACATACAGAACCCTTTAAACTCAATAACAACAAAAAAAAGTGAGGAAAGGATCTGAATAGCCCTTTCTCAAAAAAGAAAAAGAGAAACCCGAATGTCCAACGATTAAATTTTAAAAATGCTCAACATTCACAGTGAAATGCAAATAAAAAAATATAATACAACACTCTCACTTACTTGGATGGCTAAAATTAAAAACAAAGCAGAAAATAAGTATTGGCAAAGATGTGCAGAAATTGGAGCCATCAAACATGATGGTAGGAATGAAAATGGTATAGCCCATTTGGGATTTTGCCTGAGATTTCCTTAAAAAGTTAAACATTGTTACCCTTTGGTCCAGCCCTCTACTCTTAGGTATATACCCAAGAAAAGTGAAAATGTACATTCACACACAAAAAAAATTGTTCATGACTGCATTATTTATAGTAACCAAAAGGTGGAAACAACCCCAATATTCATTACGTGGTGAATCAATAACAATACATGGCATATTAATACTATGAAATATTATTTGGCCAAAGAAAGGAATGAAGTGCAGAGCTGATAGATGTTACAACATGGATGAACCTTGACAACATCATTCTAAGTGAAAGAAATTAGTCTCAAAAATCTCATATTGCATTTACATGTCACATCCAAAACAGGCAATTCCATCGAGAAAGACAATATATAAGTAGGTGCTTAGGGTTGTGAGGAATGGGGTGACTGAGGTGACAGCTACAGGAAACTTCTTTTTGAGGTAATGAAAATGTTCTAACAATGATTAGTGATTATTGTAAAACTGTGAATACAGTAAAAAAGTCATCGGGTATAATACTAAAAAAACCCACAAGGCGGTACATCTTAATATACAAATTAAATATCAATAAAGCTGTTATTAAAAAAAGGAAAAAATAAACACTATCCACCTGTGTTTTAACTCCAATATCTGCTCCTGACTAGCTAGGTAACTTTATGAGTATCACTTAACTTTCTTACGCCTAGTTTCCCTGTAAATAAATGGAGATAATAATGTTTTCTGTCTCACATCATTGTTATAAAGATTAAGAGAGACAACATGTATAAGAAAAGTGTCTAGTTAAAAAAATGTTGTGCCATTTACTATACCCTAAGTTATTATTGAAATCATTGCACAAATACCTTACCTCCCATTACTCCATCATTACAAATGACAGGGATCAAAGTCTCTGAAGTTCTTTCTTAGGAGGAGTTTTAACTACACTGCGTTCAAGACACGATATGTCAAGAGCTTTGTAATGTTTTGAACAACTAATAATAATTAAAAAAAAAAAGACATCTTAGAAATTAGGTGCCGTGTTCATTTTGAAATTTTCAGTCTTGTCTGCTTTTCTCCCCACTCGTGGCGTGTATAGGAATTAGCTTTTTGAAACTTTCCTCTTTTATGAGAGGGGGTGGTAAAGAAATGTAGTCCAATTAGAAATTTGCACTTAGAAACAAAAGGAGAAATTATTCAGGGGAAGGGGAACAAAGAATGAACTCAAAACGGAGCCAGTCATAAATCATTTTATAGTCACATACAAACCGATAAGAATTGTAACGCTTTTGAAAATAAACAAAACTCATCTTTTGTAGGAGACAAAACAATAATATTGGGAATAGGACCTTGGTCTGACTTCTGAATCTCATTAATTTTCCTTTTCTGTAAAATGAGAATGAGCTGTAAAAATTAAGTTACACTTTTTAAAGTGGAAATAATACTACTTACCTCACAAGAATACAGTGAGACATACAAACACTTAAATTTGGATAACATAAATGTGCTCGAAACTTCAGGCGATTTTCTGGCTTCAGTTTCTTGTTTTATAAGCCAACGTTTTCCTTCTAGTTTGGCCCTTGAGGCTTCCCGTTGTTTTTGTCTCAGAACGCATGCGCAAAAAAAAAAAAGAAACCATTGACCTTTGAGCTTGGCCCTTCCGCTCCTTTAACTATGGCGGTTCGCGGCGTGGGGCGCTTGACCTGCCTGTCCCTGTATGCCCAAAGAAACGCTCGATTCCAGCGTCCTGTTTTTAGGCCTCTCAGTTGTCCAGGAACTGTAGCCGCAGACTTCAGGAGAGAAGAGCAGCCCTCTGGGAGCGCGGCGACAGGTAATGGCTCTGGGTCGTCGGTTCGCCATACCTCCGTCCCACCGCGAGCCAAGAAAGGGAAGAGACTGGGCATCGCGGAGAACCCGTTGGCGTGTGGAAATGGCCGTGGATCCTTTGGCACAGCTAAGGCTGTGTCCCGCCCGCCTTTCATTTCACGAGGGAGACCTAAGGCCGCCTCCTTTGCTGAAGTTGCTTGTGTGCCGTTTTGAGGGTCCGCTCCTGTGTACAGTAATGAGATTGCCTAAGCCTCAGTGAAGCTCAGCAGGACTACAGTTAGCCAGCCCATAATAATATGCCTCCTGTCAATCAAAATCCCTAAGATGTTGCCGAAGGCCGAATGTAGTGAAGCCTAGTGAATTACCAGGACTTCTGGCTCCCAGAAATAGGGCTCTACTGATAAAATTTTCGGCTGTTTAGTTTTGGGCTGTTTTGAGCAAACTCTGTTTTGTAACACATTTTCATTCACTGTTGTGGGTGGCACGAGTGTTCTAAATTTGTATATACTTCTTTGTGTATTGAAAAGCCCATTCTTACTCAACCCCTCTTGTGGCCCAAGAGCTTGTGTATGCTATTTATAATTCTTAAAACAATCTTGCTACAGATATATGCTTGTCTTCATTTTACAGATAATAGGAAGAGGCTTAAAGAACTAAATAGCTTTTGCATGACATACAACTTAGATCTTGAGTCAAGTTGCCAAAGAAGTATTTATTTTTACCGTTTCTTGGAGCTAACGTTTTAAGAGATGAAGTTATTTCTAGCCGCAGTTCAAAAGCATATTAAACAAGTAGAATATTGTTCTTTTATAAGTTATTGTCTTCATTAAGACTCATGACAGAGTGCAAATACTCATTACATCTCATTGAAATATTGATTGGATTCTATTTAGTAGAAGCTGTTCCATAGAAAATTTTTCATTAGTCCTGCAAATTTGAGTAAGGATTTTGCCAAAAATGCTACTGTAATTTAATATTTGTATAGTGCTTTAAGTTTGAAAGTATTTTCATGTGCTCTTTGAGATCTTCCATACCTGTGGACTAGGTATGAAAGGAATTATTATTTACTACATTTTATAGTTGAGAAGACAGACTAGTTCAGCTGGCTTATTCAGTCCTTCCCCATTTACATATGGCACAGATTAAAGTAAAACCCACTTTTGATTTCAGGGCTTTCCTCTTCACTTAGTGGCAAGAGAATAAGAGTGTTATTCAGGACTCTTTTGAATGCAGGTGGCAAAACTTAACTCAAATTAACTCATTAATTCCCATGTTCCTAGATGTGGGACACCTGTAAAACTTTAAATTGAGAGCAAATATACCACCATGGTAGCTTTTGAAATAAAGGTTGTACTTTTTAGAGTTCTATTATTTTGAAAAATAGGTGAATGTGTTTGAAATGCATATATGTATACATGTATATGTTTATATGTAAGGGATGCCTAAGCTGTAGATTATGATTTCCAGCCTATTTTAATGCACCTGTGTCAACTTCATTGACATTCACAGAATTGAAAGCTTGGGACTTAATGGGTTAAGTAGAATAGAGAAGATATACCAACCCAGGTAATCCAGCTCCAGAAACACGTTTTTATTGCTTTAAGGTCTGTTTGATTAATGTAGTAGTCCGTGTGAGGCTCATCAGGTATTATTTGGTGGCCTTGTAATTTCAGATTCTTCTACATGAGGTTTTTATGGTGGGGATGATAATGGGCAACTCTGTTCACATGCTTGCAGCTTTTCCAAAAGAAAGAGTAAACTTTTACCTGAATTTGACAAATTCCATGAAAGAGCTTTCCATTGATGATTTGCCCACCCTTTGGACCAAAAGGAAGTTTCCAAAAATTGTCTGGTAATCTTGGCCTGGCTCATGGGGTGGGAGTAAGTGTGATGGGTAGGATAATTGTATTGACACTTCTACAACTACACAGTGTGTGTGTGTGTGTGTGTGTGTTTTAAACAGGGGTGTGCTGATATCAGAACAGGTGGGGATGCATACCAAGCAGCCAAACAACAGCTAAATTCTATAGGAGGCTGTGCAGTATATTAGATGTTTGTTTTTATGAAACTTTTTTGTTGTTAAATCTGTAATGATACCTGCTGTGCCTATCTAAAGGTTCTTAGGAGTTTCAGAAGAGAACATATATGTGACTGACTGGAAAACTGTCAAGTGCTGCTCAAAGAGAAGATGTCATAGTGTATTTGAAGGCAACGTTTAGCTTTTAGGTTCTCATTATAATGTTTTGGTTTTTTTTTTTTTTTTTTTTTTTTTTGTGTGTGTGTGTGTGTGTGTGTTTGTTTTTTTCTTCTTTCCCAGGCTATAAATTGTCCCTTTATGTATAGTAATTCTCTATTATAGTTTCTAGTCTTTCTGCTACTTCTTTCTGAGTGCTCCCTGGCTTATTAATATTCATATCCATTATATTTAGAATGGAATATATTTCCCATCTGTGTCCTGACCAGAAAATAGCAAAGGAATGCTATTATCCCTTGGATTAAATGTCTTAAAGAACTACTGCTAGTTAATTTATATAGTGTCTTTATTTTGTTTTAATATGCTTTGAAAATGTCTGGTTAGTTATCATTAGGGTAAGAGGTTCTGAGGAGCATTTATACTTTTACATTATAAACTTTTGTACTATTTGACTTTACTTTTATAGTAAGCAGATGAGCATCTGTGTAGACTCAGTGAAATCAGAGGCAAGAATGTATACAAGTGGTAATTACAACTGAAAAAGTATCAAGATGGACTAAGCAGAGCTTGTAGCATAAGAAGAGAAGGAAATAGGGACCGGTAGGAAGGAGGACAATCAGCAGGGACTGGTAGGAAGGAGGACAATCAGTAGACTGAAATCAGATTAAACAAGAATAGAGATGTCTGTGTCCTAAACATGGAAAAAGATGTTCTTCTGTATTGTTAAATAAATGTTTATTTATTTAACTGCTGAGACCTCTAGTGTTAAATATATATTTAAATTGTAGTAATAAACAACGCTACAATTACATTCCTTCATAGAAGCTGAGGTAAGGTAATACAGAGATGTAAGAGATTCTACCATGGATAGTCAGAAATCTTTACAGACCTGAGCAAAATTTGGAGGATGAATGGGAATTTACCAGATATAAAATGAGAAGATGGGCATTTCAATAGAGGGAGAAGACAAAAGAGAGTCCATAGTATGTGACAGTATCATGTGTTTACACTGCTGTGTATGAAAAGTGCAAAGGGAAGAATAGTAGAAACTGACATTGAAGAGGGAAGATGGGACAAAGTGTGAGGAACTTTATAACTGTGCTGTGGAATTTGGACTTGATCTTAAAGGTAATGAAGAAACTGTTTAAGGATTTTAAACAGGCAAATTAAAGAATCAAGGCTTTTATAAAAATATATTTTTAGATGTTGATGGACCTTTATTTTATTCATTTATTAAATGCCATGCTGAGGATTGAAACCAGTGCCTCACACGTGCTCGACAAGTGCTCTAACGCTGAGCCATAACCCCAGCCCAGAATTAAGGCTTTTTAAAAAACAATTTTATAAAGATTATGTTGGCAGCAGCATGGAGAATCACTTGAGAAAGACAAAGCTGGAATGACTGAGAACAAATTCGGAGTCAAGCTATTGTGACAGTACAGGACTGAAATAAGAGTTTAGCATTAAAGAATTGATACTGGGAATGGAGAGAAAGGCTTATATTCAAAAGGATGTATTTTCAGCATCTAGTACACTACGAATATCAAACACTTTGGTTTGATAGCATGTTAAAAATGGTGAGCAGGTCAGGGACAAGAATTTTCTGATTTGCCATTAGAGATTTGCCCTTTAGCTAATACTTCACGATTCAGCCAGCTTCTACTGTCAATAACCCATATTTATCTGTCTTGTCCATGAAGATGTCTTGGAGTTGCTGAAATTCAGTGATAGTGTAGGTGGAATATTTCCTTGATCCATCAGTTTTGTGGCTGTTTGAAAGAAAATGAGGCTAAAAACTCCTGATTTCCATGTAGCTAAAAGAAGCATTTTAAGCTACTTAACTGGAAATTAAATATCTTGGAGGCAAAATGAGTTGTTAAAAAAGAAAATTAGTGTTTGGCTTTAATGTTTTCTTAGAACTTGAGTGATTTCTTTTTTCTTTATATATGTAGTTCATTTGTTGATCTTCCTTTTGTGGCCAGTAGATGATTAATATTTATTTCTTGACTATCACAGTTCTTGTCTTCATCCTCTGTTTGTAAAACTCCTTGTCTGTAGAAAGGTACTTAAATGGGGGGTGGGGAGAGAAAATGCCCCAAATCCTTAGTGAAATTATTATGAGCTCTTCGTGGGTAGCAACTAGGTTTTAAATTCTTTAATTTCTCTATAATATAGGTCATATGATAGATAATAACTTAATTGTTAGAGACTGATCAAGACCCTTGACAAAGAAAAAATCCTTAAAAACTTAATTCACTGTATTGAACTTATAAACTCATTGTCTCAATACATTAGGCTTATGATAATTTCTTGTGGGAATGCACCTATCATTGTATTAAGATGACTTTAATTCTTCAGGATAAATACTGAGGAGTGGTATAGCTGGGTCATATCATGGTTCTATGCCTAGTCTTTCAAAGTATGTTATAAATTTTACATGTAAGTATATATGTATGTCATGGAAATGTTTTTGTTTCATTCATAGGCTCTGAAGACAGAAGTCCCAAAAAGAGATTCACTGAAGTGCAAAAAGAAAGACGAGAACAGGCACAGCGAACTGTTTTAATTCATTGCCCAAATAAAATCAGTGAAAAAAAGTTTCTCAAGTATTTATCC